GGTACAGGCACTTGTCGCTGAGTGGTAAGCTGTGTCAAATTTAGCCAGCTGTCCCAGAACTAGATGTATGCTTGCCTGAGGCTCACACCCATTCCTTTCCGTTATCTCTGAGGTGCTTCCGATCTACATATTAGACAGCTAGAAGTGAGGTGTGAATATGAGAGTGTTGATCTGAAATATACTGGCAGCATATAATGTGTGCACTTTAAATTTTCTCATAGATATTTAGACATCTGTCTCATGAGTGGGTTGTTTCCAAAATTACTTTATTTTGCTATACTCAAAATATATTCGCTAAATTCTGTCTTCACATTGACAAAGTTAGACCCCAAAGCTTCCTTATATAACTTAAGCATACCCTGCTGACCACTGAGCACCTCCGCTGGAGCAACTGAGGTTAAGGGCCTTTCTTTGATGAGACAGAGGAAAGTGCTGTTTTCTCACTTTCCCGTCCAGGGTCCAAGGTTTTAACTAGCGACCTTCTGGTCGTAAGCTTGTTTTTCTTACCTTGAAGCCACCACAGCTCTTTTTGCACTATTGATATATTGTGGAAAACCTGGAGGACTTTTTAATAGCATCTGGTTTGCTGACTTGACCTGTAGCATGTGGTGTAAAAACACGTGTACTTAAGCAGAAAGCACCAGTATATGGCTAATGGCCATGTGGCTCTCTTACCCACGTGCTGTGACATTGGTGGGTAATTTGTCATCCAGCTGAAAGACCCTAAGTGTTTATGACAGATGTCAGATCAACTTTGCTTTTTTTGTGAGGGCTTCATCTCAGCTGCTTAATCGTTCAGTTCTATCTGCACTGCCAAGGTGCAGCCTGGTCTTTGGTACCATGTCCCCTTTCATTACTATGAGTTATAAACCCAAGGATGTGGAAGGAGAAGTGAGAATTATCCTGGTTTACTTTCATTTGATGGCAACTTGACAGGCAGAAAGCAGGACAGAATATAGGTTCAGCATGTTATCTTGCCATGGTCACACAGAGTCATGGTACAGTAAAAAGAAAGTTCTAAGGTTTCATATATCAGGGCATAGTAAAAATCTTGTTGTTCTTAGTAAACTTTTAGATTTGGCAAATTCAAGCTCAGATGAATAAATACACTGTAAAATGATTTAATTAACAACATTTAAGAATGCAGAAGCAGTGTATGAAAAGTTAAGCACACCCTTACTGCTTTCATAGAAATTAAGAAGGTAAGTAGCAGCCAGTTGTTGCTAATCAAAGGCATTTGATGAATTGATCATCAGCAAAAGCAGAAATTTTGGCAGTTTGTGGGTCCGGAGCATTCAGGTGTGTGTTAACACAACGCTAAGGAGGAAAGACATCAGCTGTGATCTTACAGAAGCAATTGTTGTTGCCCATTAATCTAGGAAGCGTTCAAAGACTATTTCCAAACAATCTTAAGTTCACCATTTTTCAGTGAGAAAGATTTCTACAAGCCCACAACATTCAAAACAGTTGCCAGTCTCCCCAGTAGCAGATGCCCCAACAAATTCACCTCAAGGTCAGACTGTGAAAAGCTTATCTCAGACTCTACAAGCCTCAGTTAGCATGTTAAATGCTAAAGTTCGTGACAAGAAAAAGACTGATGGCTTGATTGGAAAGAGTTGCTAGGAGAAAGCCTCTTCTCTCTAAAAGGAACAACACAGCATGGCTTAGGTTTGCAAAGTTGCATCTGAGAAAACCACAGGACCTCTGGAAGACTTCTCACATCTAGTCTGTACCAAAAGTGGAGATCTTTGGCCATGATGCACAACACCACATTTAATAAAAACCAAATACAGCATATCTGCACAAACATCTCATTGAAACAGCTGCAGTGTTCCAGGTGGTGGAGGGGTGATGATTTGGGTTTGTTGTGTAGCCATAGGACCTGGACAACTAGCATTCATTGAGTCAACCATGAACTCCTCTGTATACCACGAGTGTTCTAGAGTTAAATGCGACATCTGACAACTTTAGCTTGGCCCGAATTGGATCATACAACAAAACATTAGTACTGACCCTAACAGCAAATCTACATCAGAATGGCTGAAAAAGAAAAAAAATCAAGGTGCAATCAAACTTCAACCCGATTAACTGCTTTGGCAGCAGCTACAGGGAGCTGTGAATAAATGACTACCTAGAAACCTCAGTGAACTGAAACAACATTGTTAAGATGAGTGGACCACAGAAAAGGGTTACTGAATCATGGCATAGATCTAGTTTTTCAAACAGTGCTTCTGCATTTGGTCTAAATTTTGTTAAATGAATAGTGACACGGGATAATAAGTTAGGTGCACTTGTTCATCTGAGGTCGTATTTATTTAATTTGAAGACCTACTAAGAACCAAATGCATTTTATCATGTCCTGATACATAAAACCTTAAAACTGATCAACTTATGATATACTGGGTAAAATCTGTGCTTTGCATGTCCAGCCACCAAACCCATAACACCTCAGCCAGGGAATTAGTTTACTTTAAAACACATTTGGCCATTCGGTACTATATAACTCCCTTAAAAACAGCTACTAGTGAAGTCGAAAATCAAAATTGCTTAAGCAACACTAGTTCCCAACATTTATTATTTCAGAAAGTATCAAGCATGGTGACATTGCTTTGGCACCGCATTTTCTGGTGTCTCTTACCTGCCACCCACAGAGAAATCAGAGATGGCATAGAAGTACGAGCGCAGCACTTTAGCGTCCTTGAAAAACTCATCTCCAAAGGTGTTAAGCCTGTCCAAAGAGATGAGCAGGTCAGTGGCTGTTACCCATTCCTGGAAAAGAAAAAAAAAGAGGAAATGATACGGGAAGAAGAAAAGATATACAGGGTTAGCCAAAAGGAAAAGAAAAAAAAATAATGTAAGAGAACCATCGTCAGGAAGTCTGCTGGCTGCTGCCACTCTTGGTGACACAAGAAAGCAGACAAGAAGGTTGGCAAGAGAAAAAAAACACACTGGGCTTCAGTTGAAAGGGGTAAAAGAGTGAGATATATAAAACAGCAAATGTTGACAGCAAAGAAAAGAGAGGAAGTTGGAAAGAAGATATGGTCAAGAAAACTACAGTGTAACATCAGAGGGAGCGCAGATATGATGGGGAGATAATGAGTATGGTGTAAGAAATTGAGTTAATGTCACAAAGAGGGCTGAAGAAAAAGGGGATTAATGGAGAATAAAGCTGAAATATGAAAAAAAAACATGAGAAAAGAGACAACATTGCAGCACTGCTTCAGTATAATGGATGGCACTTGGCAAAGCTCCCACCACTGATATGATTTAAGCTCTTCTGTTTGAGACTACTGCAAAGGTACAGGCAGGATGAAGCAAGAGTGGGAAAAGAAGGTAAAGAGGGATAACACAAACAGTGGAAAAGCTAACGGGAAGTACAATAGAGGGTGCAAGATAAAAGCGAGGCCAGGTAAAGAGAGAGCAAATGACGTTTTCTTTTTCTTTTTTTAACAGAACAACTTTAAAACAAATAGCTGGAGAGAAACTTTCTTTTTGTTTCTTGGCTACTTTGGGACTCTGTGGGATCCCTGAGAAAGCCTGTCATGCTTAATGTTTTGAAGCTTCTCCCCAGAGATGTCTTTGAAGTCTGGCAATGGGAGACAAGGAGATTGGAGCGGATGAGCCTCAGACTAAAAACATGTGTGAAGAGTTCATTCATTCATTTTTTTTAATCTCATGTACCATGCATTTTACCATGCATGCACCCCTTACCACATAGTACATTACTCTGACAATTTTAGACAATTAAACATAAAACTGTGTCATTTACAAATGCCTTGTTATCAAATTCTGAAGTGAACGTTATACTTTCATGACTAAATTACGGAAAATCTTTACAGACATGTATGCTTTACTGTGGATGTATCATTCAAATTTTCTGTAGTGCTGGAGCAGGTTTAACATATGATTGACATGTGCACCAACAACAGCTAAAGGTATGTTCTAGGGGTGCAACAATACTCGT